GTACTAGTACTTGAGTCAGTACTTGTAGTAGTGGTAGTGCTGCTTGTAGTACTAGTACTTGAGTCAGTACTGGTAGTAGTGGTAGTGCTACTTGTAGTACTAGTACTTGAGTCAGTACTGGTAGTAGTGGTAGTACTACTTGTGGTACTGCTACTGGTCGTAGTAGTACTACTTGAGGTACTGCTGGTGGTTGTGCTACTTGAAGTACTACTCGTGGTAGTGGTAGTAGTACTTGAAGTACTGCTAGTGGTTGTGCTACTTGAGGTACTGCTTGTGGTCGTAGTAGTACTACTTGAAGTACTGCTAGTGGTACTAGTACTGGTACTGGTACTTGTAGTACTACTGGTCGTGGTCGTACTGCTTGAGGTAGTGCTGGTGCTTGTTTTAGTACTGGTGGTAGTGGTAGTAGTAGTACTAGTAGTGCTGGTTGTACTACTGGTGGTACTTGTTCTAGTACTGGTGATCGTTGTTTCTGAAACATAGAACATTTGTGCTTTATTCAATGAAATTATAGGGAATTTATATTAAAAATACTGATATGTGATCAGATGAATCAAGAATCTAGAAACTCAGAGTTTTATTTAGGATTTTTATTTTGAAAGTACGAAAATAATTTCTGAGAGAGGCGGGACGGGAACCTATTTTCATAGGATAAATGTATACTATTAAGTGCACAAACTACAATTCTCGAAGGAAGACGCTGCACCCACACTAAATACCACTCTGAATAAACTGCATTATCATAGATGAATCATACTATTTTCTGTTTCCGAAACGAATATATAAACTATTTTACTAATTTACAACTACATGTTTCATTATACAAAAATAACTTACGGCAGTTACTCTGAAGAGTAAATTGTTGTACTCGACTATTATTTCGATCAGTAACATATATATTTCCATAGCTATCAAAAGCCATACTTTGTGGAAAAGATAATTGAAACGCAGTTGAACCACCTCCAGAACACCCGACTATACATCGAAAACCATTAGAATTTGAACCAACAATACGATGATTATAACTATCGACAATAAAAAGATAACCACTAGCATCAAGGACAATTCCGGTTGGACAATTAAGTATAATATTTGCTGACGATCCATTTCCAGCGATTGTCACTCCATTTAACTGACCAGTTTGAACGGATTGAATCCGATTGTTACCACAATCTGCAATATATAAGGTTAAATTATTATCAACATAGATTCCTTGAGGATAACTAAGCATATTAGCTAATGATCCAGCAGTACCAGTTCCTGCTGCAATTGTCGGAATGGTTGTACCACTATTAAGTGGAAGTTCAACAACTTGATGAAGATTTTTAAGAGAACAATAAAGATTATTACTAATATCAATAAATAAACCATAACAACTTCCACTAACATTCATAACAGTAATGACATTTGATGAATTATATGTAAATTTATCAACTCGACCATTTGAATAGCCATTATCGACATAAACATCACCAGTGATCGAAATAAAAAGACTATATGGACGATTTAGATTAATAGACAGATTTCCTGTCGGTGTAGTACTCCATTGCGGCCATGTTAAAATAATATTATTAAATAGATTAGCTACATAGACAGTATTGATTCCATCGATAAAAATGCCATAAGGTGATGATCCAATAGTTGTACTTGATGCAAAAGTTGAAGCATTTGAATACCATAATGCATCTGAACAAAATGTCGGTTGACTATAAAATGTGCCTAAAATAATTAGATCATTATAGTTAAGGACGTAGTCAATAGAAACAAACAAATATAGCTTACTACATGAATTTGATGCTAAAATGAACTTTTGTATTCGATTATTATTTTCATCAGCAACAAAAAGATTTCCATAACTGTCGAAACTAAAAGTTCGTGGAGCATTTAACTGACTTGCACTGGAACCAGCTCCTGTACATCCAAATAAACATCGAAAACCAAATGGTCCTGATCCTATTACTCGGCTATTGTAGTTGTCAGTAATAAAGAGATAACCATTAGCATCCAATGTAACGGCATTTGGACAGCTGAGTGTGATAGTCCATGATGCACCACTGCCAGCAACAGTTGTTGCGCTAAGCTGCCCAAAACCGAACATTTGTACTCTATTATTTCCACAATCTCCAACGTATAAATTAAATTTCTTATCAACATGGATTCCAGCGGGATAGTAAAGCTGATCGACAGCTCCCCCAGCAGTTCCTGTACCAGCTGCAGAAACTAACGTAGTTCCGTTATCGTTTAAATATTTTTTAGCAATTCGATGGCTAAAAGTCATTGCACAATAGAGAGTATTACTCATATCTACAAACATGCTATAGCATTCTTCAGTTATTTGCATAGCAACAACACTACTATTAGAATTTGCTGGCCACTTATCAACTCTACTGTAAGTAACGCCATTATCAACATATATATCACCTGAAAGTGTAGTAAAAAGACTGAGTGGTGAACTCAGACCACCAGATAAAATTTGGTTAGGAACGATACTTCCTTGTAGCCATATTTGGATTTGGTTAAGTGATTGACTTGCCACATAAACAGTATTATTAAGATTTACAAATATTCCATAAGGTGTTGTACCAATCGTGCTGGAATTAGCGAAAGTAATAGCATTTGTATACCAAGTTGAAGATGGACAAAAACTCGGTTGATTGAAAGAAAAAGCTATAAATAAACAAAATTAAATAAAGTTCAAAGTCCCAAAATCATATCTTTGATAACTGATATTAGCATTAATCTAAAAAGATTAGACGGGATCACAAACAGAAACTTAATTTTATCTACACAGAATTTCTAAAAAAGAAATCAATTTTAATAGAACACAAGCAAATATGAGTCACTATGTATTGTATGATGTGATTTTTCTATATGATATCTTTATGGATGAAACTTTATTAAGATACTTACGATAAGTAGTATTCGGCATTAAAAAGAACTTTTGTAATCGATAATTTGATCGATCAAGAACAAATATATTTCCGTGACTATCGAAACTTAAACTTGATGGATTATATAATTGACTGGACGATGAACCAGCAGCACTATAACATGCGATTATACATCGAAAACCATACGGTCCTGATCCAATAATACGATAATTGTAACTGTCTACGACAAATATATATCCATTGGCATCCAGCATAACATCTGTAGGGTAATATAGTGAAAAAGTTCCTGGAGCTGTACTTCCTACAACCGTTGTTGCAGTTGCTTGTCCAGATAAAAACAATTGCACTCGATTATTAATAGAATCAGCAACATATATATTAAGATTTGTATCAACAAAAACTCCACGAGGATTATAAAGTGTGTTAGAAGTTGATCCAGCACAAGATGTTCCAGCAGCAATAATCCACATACTTGAATTAGTGTTTAATGATGTCATTACAATTTGATGATAATCGAATAATGCACAATAAAGATTATTATTAATATCGATGAAAAGATCGTAGCAAATATATTTCGAATACATTGCATAAGTACTTGTCGTTGCATTTACTGCCCATTTATCAACACGCTGGTATAAATATCCATTATCAACGTAAAGATCACCTTTACTCGAACCAAAAATACCGTATGCATAACCTATACCAGTTGTTATATTGCTTGTTGGATTAGTACTTCCTTCTAACCAAATATTTATTCGATTGTCAGCTCGATCAGCTACAAATACCGTGTTGTTGGTATTAATAAAAAAACCATAAGGATCTGCACCAACTGTGCCACTAGTTGCAAAAGTTAGTCCATTACCATCCCACATAGCATATGCACCAAATTGGGGTTGATTAAACGATAGAGCTAAAAAAAAGAAATATTTATTTAGATTTTATTCTATTTTGTAGAAATCAAAGGATCATCTTTTTGAAAGCTGATAGTTTACACTAAATATTTTCCCACCGAAATAATGAATTTTCAGCCCATAAAGTGTTTTTATTTTTTGGGAAGGGGAGCGGAATATACTCATTACCTCTGAAGGACAATACTTATTTCATTTGGAATTATTGATATATGATAGAAATTACAAGATCTTTTTATAGATAATTACTGGCACGAAACTATTTCTAACATAAAATGTATGCGATCAAAAACTTATTTTAATTTGAAAAGAAAACAATAATACAAATCATATTTAGAAATATCAATTTCAAGTTTCCTGTCTAAGAACTCTAAAATCTATCATACATATTTTCATTTTTAAAGACAAGATGGGTATACTTACCATTGACATATTCTCAATTAAAATATATAAAACAAAATATATTTCTATTCTATTACGGTAACAAAAAATTGTACTCAATCTCTTTAGAATTCGGTTACACATTATTGTTCTAGGACTCAGATTATCAATGAAATGTATTTAGTTATTATATTACCATTTGAATAAGAGCTGGAGATTGATGGAGTAGTTGCTTGAATGATATTTGTTGAAAGTGTTGCTAAAAATAAATATAAATTATTATCAATACATAAAAAAGGAAAGGAGAATATTTTAAAAATACCAGTGATCGGAGCTGCTGTTGTAGTAGTACCTATAATCAATAGAATTAAATTTATTTTTGATATTTAATTAATTAAATAAATGAACGAATTAACTATAAGTATAGTTTCAATGAAAAATAAATTCATCTTGATTTTACTTGAATGAATGCAATTACTTTTAAAAATAAATTTTAGAACAATCCTATGGTCACATATAAGTTCACTTACTACATGAGTTCGCGGCTAAAAGAAATATTTGCACACGATTGTTGTCACGATCAGTAACAAATATATTTCCATAACTATCGAAAGCAAAAGCTTGTGGACTATCCATTTGATTGGATGCTGAACCAGCGGCTTGAGTGCATCCAGCTACACATCGATATCCGTAGGGTCCTGAACCAATAATACGTTGATTTTCGCTGTCCATAATAAAAAGATATCCATTACCATCAAGTAAAACATCTGTAGGCGTATTAAGTGTCATGGATCCTGCGACTGAACTTCCTACAATCGTTGTTGCAGTCAGTTGTCCATATAAGAAGAATTGTATTCTGTTGTTTGTAGAATCAGCAACATATATATTAAGATTTCCATCAACAAAGATTCCTCGAGGAGAATAAAGTTGATTGGAAGCGGCTCCAGCACTGCCGGCTATGCCAGCTATTGTTTTCCATACAGTTAAACGGTTGCTGAGCGATTGAGCAAGAATTTGATGATTAGCACTCCACGTACAATATAGTGTATTATTAATATCTATATGAAGATCATCACATTGTGCACATGTATACATCGCTGGAGTACTATTTGTGGAATTTAATTGCCATTTATTGACTCGATAATTGGATGCACCATTGTCGACATAAATATCACCATTGCTTGTGACAAAGATACCGTATGGACTGCTCAAAGTACCCGTAAGATTTCGTGTTATTACTGTACTTCCTCCAAACCATACAATAACTCGACCATCTTGTCGATCAGCTACATATACAGTATTGTTGGTATCAACAAAAATACCATAAGGAGTACCGCCGACGATAGTACTCGTTGCAAAAGTTATAGCCGTCGCGTTCCACGATGCATTTGCACATAAATTTGGTTGATTGTATGCTACAGCTATAAAAACGAAAAGATGATAAACTTATGACTTGAATCAAAATAGTAATTATCAACATATTTCGCACTCAAATCTAACCAATGATTTTGAAATACGATGATTTAATGTCTATTTTGTTTTACATGAATTTTGACAAAACTATTTGATAGGGATCCAGAGTAAAGGTTGAAAAAGAAAAAAAACTTCTTTTTTAGATCCAAATTTTCATCGAACTTTGAATCGTCTCATAGCATTAGTTAGATTTCTGATCTCAGGAAATTTTCTCGGCCTCGATAAAAAATTATCGGATCAAATAGCTAATTTTTTCTATTCTAATCAAAGAAAGATTCAAGAGTCATGAAAGTCTTTCTTTCCAAAATTTGTATATGAACTATATCAACATTTGTATAGGTGTCTATTTCCGAAAAAAGATATCCAGAGCAAGCTGAAATATGTTGCTCTTACAATGATATACTAGAAATTGAGACTGATATTTACCTGATATCTGTCCGATATACAGCAGAAACAATAGCAAATTGAGTAAATTGCCTATTACCATTCCAATATCTGAAATACAATTCAATCGAACGTTAATTAATAATAGTGTTAGATAAAAAAATAAGTAGAAGATCTTCTTCATGAATCTGTTTGTAACTCACTTCCGTCATGAACTCAATACTCACAATAATTTGAAACTTTCGTACCTACCTATTATAATAAAATTATATTCAATATTTTTCAAACAATAATTAAACTAATAGCTAATTTATTCTATCAATAAATGATATACAGGATGTTACGGAAGTCCCCACGAATTAAACATTTGAATATCTCTCTTACAGCTGAAGCAAACGAGCCGATATTTTTTATCAAGGATAGAGACATATTCAAATTTTATATTCATAAAAACATGTCTAGAGATATCCTTTCTTAATTATATTGTTTTTTTCTTCTATCTGTGAAAAAGTAAAATGTTTTTGTTGAATCAAATGGATGTACTTAACAACGGGTCTCCCTACGTATGTCTTTATAGATATAAACTTTGAATATACCTCTATCCTCACTAAAAAAATTACTTCATTTGCTTGAGCCATAAGAGAAATATTAAAATGTTTTTTTTATTTGAATTTTTGAAACACCTTGTATGTTAAAATACTTACTTTAATATGAAATCCTATATTTTGTCTTTTACGTCCGTTTCTGCTACACTCACTTAATAAAATAGAAAAAAACATTTTAGCTAGAATATATTTAATATGTAAAGAAATGCGTGCTGCACAATGAAAAAGAAGGACCTGGAGAAATATAATTTTCTTCAATTGTATACATATAGGTAATTGAAGTGCCTTTCAAAATGTAGAAATCAATTTAAAAAAATGTACTCATGATGTTGACGAAAATCAAAAGTGAATTTCTTTCAATTAATCTGTTATGTGAAAGATCATTTAGTAACGAACTTGTAATGTTACTTCAATTCAATAAAAACATCAAAACAATTTTTTTATTTATCTAGATGATGCATAATTTTCTCTAATTTTCATTGAAATAAATGTGATTACTTTGTATTCAAAAACGAAGCGTTAGAAATAATTTTATCTTTTCTCTATATAATACGTAAACAATCGATTCTAGTATTTATATCTCTTTTTTAAGAATTTTTTTTTATTCCAAAATATTCTAATTAATATAAATAAATATTTTCTTTTACATCAGCTTATTTTGATCGTGTAAAGTGCGCATGTGTCCGTACATTTTCTTTAAAAGTACATATATATTATTACTTTCTGAAATTAAAAATATAATAATTTGTCTGATATATTTTTTTTCTTCTATTCCGTCATAAGAAAAATATTCAATGACTATATAAGAATAATAATTAACTCGTTTTAATAGATTTTCTAAGGATTTGTCAAAAATCTATGTGATTCTGATTGATGGAATAAACTATGATATTTTCTTTTTTTTCTCTTCTTCACTATAGTAAAACGTAAATATTTTAAAAAATAATACCTACTTTTGCACTTGTTAAAGATATTCATCATTAATTAACTCTTTCGAAATAAATCTCCTGAAATTTCTAAAAACAATTTCGAACATCTCTTTTAAGTAATCGTATACAATATCATTTAAATAATAATTCTCGTTACTAACGAAATAGGATTACTTCCTATATAAATGTATCTGACGTAACTTATTTAAAAAAAAATACTTACCATTGAAAACTCATTAGAGAAATGAATGAAAACAAAAAAAAATATTATAACAGTTGTTGTTATTATTTGACTATAGAAGAAAAAATTTATTATTATCATGTTCTTTTTTTTTAAATAAATCGAAGTATTCATAATCGAGTACGAATTTGCCGATATTTGTACTCGAAAAAGTCGACACTTGCTCTCCTCTATTTCATTAATACTAGATATAATGTTTAATA